TGTAGCCGCCACCACTTCCTGTGGCAGTGAATTCCATGTGTTAATCACTCTTTGGGTGAAGAAGTACTTCCTTTTAGCCATTCTAACCCGACCGCTCAGCCATTTCATGGAGTGCCCATGAGTTCTTGTATTGTGAGAAAGGGAGAAAAGAACCTCTTTCTCTACCTGCTCTTTCCCATGCATAATCTTATAAACCTCAATCATATTGGTAGACCTGGCCTTGGACCATCACCCTGCACAGAGCCTTTGAAAACATACCAGCACTTTTTTGGGGGGGAGGGAGGGGGGGACTCTTGCAGTGTTTTTTTTTAGTAAAATAACTTTTTAGTGAAATCACTGTCAGAACCCTACCTAACCTAACAGGGAGTCGCTTAAATGTTATCACCTGCCCAGACTACTTATTTATTCAGATATTTATATTCCACTTTTCCTGTGACTCAAGGCAGCTTACAAATCATACTGAAAAGCATAATAGGGGTGTGCAAAAAAAATATCTTTTTTTCTGGCTCAATTACAGCCTATGGGGACCATTATAGTCAATGGGCCCCATAGGCTACAATGGAGAATTGATCCAGGGGTATCTGGAGCTCTGGGGAGGCTGTTTTTTTGAGGTAGAGGCCCCAAATTGGCAGCATCGCTGCTGGTGCCTCTCCTCAAAAAAAAAAACCCACCCAAATTTCAAAACTAGTGGACCATCCTCCATCCTACATTGTTTCCAGTGGAGAGGAAAATTCCTTTACGTGTGAGCTGAAGCTAAAATCCATGAGCTGTGACCTAAAATGTTGTGCACCAGCGCCCCCTAGTGCAGCTCAGCGGGAACTCGGACTAGGACCACAGTTGGGCCTACAAGGTAGATAGTGGGCTGGAAGCCTGGCCCTGCATCTTCGCTGAGCTATCTCAGCATGAGCCCTGTGCTTCCGCTGCTCCTGCTGGGTGGAGGTGAATGGGGGGAGCTTGTGGACCGGTTCCTGGGCTGGTGCTTTGTTTTCACAGGATCTGGGTGGACAGAGGGACGTTCTGGAGGAAGCTCCCACTACAGGTTCCTGAGGGGCAAATTCTAACACAGATGGGCTAGGCCAGTAGTGGCGAACCTACGGCACGGGGGCCAGAGGTGGCACTCAGAGCCCTCTCTGTGGGCAGGCGAGCCATCGCCCCAGCCAGGCCCAGACCATCATTAAAGTGTCGAATTCTCTGCCAAATAATTTTAAGTCAACGAAAGCATTTGGGATTGCTTTCCTTACTTTGTTTGGATCATCTTAGGTTGATGTATGAGTTGTTTTTTCTAAAGTAAAACCTCAGTATTCAGGTTAAATGGTCGTGTTGGCACTTTGCGCTCAATAAGTGGGTTTTGGGTCGCAGTTTGGGCACTCGGGTCTCTAAAAGGTTCGCCATCACTGGGCTAGGCACATCTACACTGCATGGGTCTCCCGGAGTTTCCTGTTCTCCCTCAGGCCAGGTTTCTGGCCCCTCATACTCCTCAGGGCTTCCAAGTCAGAGTCCAGAGCCACCTCGGTAGAAGGTCATGACAGGTACCTTCATCTAAGTCCCTCTTTATTCCCCACATTTCATATCTCATCTCACCACTCACTCCAGGCGGCTGATGAATGATCAGCCCGTGAAAGCGCAATACCTGCTGCCAATATAATACCATCTGAAACCTATTAAATCAAACCAGGATGTGGTCATAAATCTCTGGCCACACAACAAAAAAACATAGACTCTGCTAAAAGAGAGTGTAGCACTCCGCATTCCCCAAAGAATGAGGCGAAATTAGGTCTGATTAGCCAGCACTTTAGGAAGCACAAGATGGAACCCGAGTGAAGGCCGAATGGCCTTTAGCCCTGAGGAAAACATGAGGGTGTGAGGAAGCGATTAACCTTTGGCCTGACGCCATTTCTCCATTTTGACAGCCAAAAATGAACGAACCAGCAGGAACACAGTTTGGCAACAGTCTTTTGTGGCTCAGAAATAAAGGTTTATCTCTGTCGTGGCCCCGAAGAGCCGAGCATGGTCCACTGGTTGCTCAGATGCAATTATGATCTGTGATTTTAATGAGGGAAAGTTGGGGCGAATTTCACAGCTGACAGGTTTTCCCCCCTGTGTATGTAATCTCGTATGGCAATCGAGACAGGGATGTATATGATTCCCTTCAGGTATTACAGCATTGTGTTTTCCTGTCTGTTCAACAAAATAATAATAGTAATCATCGTACGGCACCCTAAAGACTGTTTTGGCATACACTTTTTTGCAGATTAGAGCTCACTTTGCCAGATGCATGAGGTGTTAGTTAGCAGACAGGTATTAAACTGGGGGGGGGGGTTTACAGAGGAAGACGTTTTCAAATAATTGGGCCCAAAGGTGAAACAAAGAGCTGCAGAGGGTTTGTGACATTCCCATGCAGACACCGATGCATACAGGACTGGAATAATAATGCTTCACTTTTCATCGAAATACAATCGACCCGCTGTACCACTCCCTTTCAGGGCCCGTGACCTCACTGTCTACGCATTTTTTCGTTGCGGCATTGGAACGAGGCCTCGAGTCACAGCCAATTTAGGGTTATCCCATATGGTATACAAGGAAAGAAAGGAACAGAGGTGGTCCGCTGTTGACTGCCTCTGTGGCGTGAGCCTTCCTTTAGAGCCAGTTTGGTGTAGTGGTTGAGAGTGGCGGACTGGAGAACTGGGTTTGATTCCCCACTCCTCCATAGACAGCCCTGGGTGTCTGTTGCGGGGAGAGGGAGGGGAGGAGATTGTACACCGCTCTGAGACTCCGAGTGAAGGGCGGAGTATGAATGAAACCTGTTCCTCCTCATCATCTTCTTCTTCCCCTCCTCCTCTTCCTCCTCCTCCTCCTCTTCTTCCCCTCCTCCTCCTCCTCTTCTCTTTCTCCTCCTCCTCCTCTTCTTCCCCTCCTCCTCCTCCTCCTCTTCTTCCCTTCCTTCTCCTTCCTTCTCCTCTTCTTCTCTTTCCTCTTCTTCTTCTTAAGAACATAATAAGAACATAAAAGACGCCAATGTTGGATCAGGCCAAAGGCCCATCTAGTCCAACACTCTGTGTCACACAGTGGCCAAAAATACCAGGTGCCATCAGGAGGTCCACCAGTGGGGCCAGGACATTAGAAGCCCTCCCACTGTTGCCCCCCCCCAAACACCAAGAAGACCGAGCATCACTTGCCCCAGAGCCCCTATCTATACCTTGTGGCTAATAGCCACTGATGGACCTCTGCTCCATATGCTTATCTAATTCCAGTGCCCATGAGTTCTTGTATTGTGAGAAAGGGAGAAAAGTACCTCTTTCTCTACCTGCTCTTTCCCATGCGTAATCTTGTAAACCTCAATCATGTCACCCCTCAGTCGTCTTTTCTCCAAGCTAAAGAGCCCTAAGCGCTTTAACCTTTCCTCATAGGCAAAGTGTTCCAACCCTTTTATCATTCGAGTTGCCCTTTTCTGCACTTTTTCCAAAGCTATAATATCCTTCTTAAGGTGTGGTGACCAGAACTGCACACAGTATTCCAAATGAGGTCGCACCATTGATTTATATAGGGGCATTATGATATTGGCTGATCTGTTTTCAATACCCTTCCTAGTAATCCCCAGCATAGCATAACCAATTCTAGGCAGTGTGATCAACAGTGTAAGACGCAAACGTATATCCCAGTGGCATCACCGACTTCTTGGTTTCATATTTTCCTGTACCAGTAAATATCTCCTGTCCTTTCGGGGACTTTTTGCAATGGGGGACAGTGTTTCCAGGGGAACACTGCCCCCAGCCCACAGTCAGATCCCCTCATCGAAGGGAACGGATGGGGGAACGATGCTACTCCCCCCGTTCCTGAAGGTTCACTTGGTGTTATGAGGGAAGAGGCAATATGTTTCCAATAAATACAACGGGGGGAGAAGGACCGTGGTTGTTGGTAGAGAAGAAGAGCTGGTTTTTATACCCCGCTTTCCTCTCCCCTAAGGAGTCTCGACGTGGCTTACAATCACCTTCCTTTCCCCACAACAGGCACCCTGTGAGCAATGTTCCCTCTAAGCTGAGTTAATGTGAGCTAGCTCACGGTTTTTGAGCCTCCGGCTCACACATTTCTGTCTTCGCTCAGGAAGGAGGGCTCCAGAGCAAACCCATTTATGAAGCAGCCAAAGCTCCTGCTCACAACTTTAATGCCAGCAGCTCACAAAGTAGAATTTTTGCTCACAAGACTCCATAGCTTAGAGGGAACATTGCCTGTGAGGTAGGTGGGGCTGAGAGAGTCCTGAGTGAACCGTGACTGGCCCAAGGTCGCCCAGCAGGCTTCATGTGAAGGAGGGGGGAGGGAATCAAACCAGGTTCTCTAGATCAGAGTCCACTGCTCTTAAACACCAAGCTGGCTCTCAGGAGGTGATGGGGGAAGGGGGCAGACTTTAGGAAAGAACTGGAAGTTCTCCCTCGCCCTTCCATTCTCCTCGTGCCTGCCCTCAGGCCTTTAGCTAGTTTTCTTACATTCCCTGATCCATTCTTGTACAGCATCTCTAGAAGACTGGTTTACCTGATGCGTACAATGAAAACTGTTCGCAAATATGACCAGGGCCATCCATAGACTGAAATCTGATTCTATGCTGAACAAATAATATACCACAAAGAAGCTGTTTGGTTTATTTGGGGGGGGTGGTGGAAATAGTTTGTATGCTTGCTTCAGAGTGCAGGATTTCTTTGGAATTCTTTGTGGAGAGAAGAGTGTGGATAAAACAGGGAAATGTGTGTGTGAGAGAGAGGGGGGGGCAGGCATTAGAGCAGTAAGGGGAAATATGTATGGCGGGACATAATTTGGACTAGGACAGTCATACAAAGGTAAAGGTAAAGGTTTCCCTTGCTCGAAAGCCAGTCGAATCCGACTCTAGGGTTGCGGTGCTCATCTCCGTTTCAAAGCCGAAGAGCCAGCGCTGTCCGAAGACGTTTCCGTGGTCATGTGGCCGGCATGACTAAACACCAAGGTGCACGGAACGCTGTTCCCTTCCCACTGAAGTGGTACCTATTTACTTGCAATTTCTTGCTTTCGAACTGCTCGGTTGGCAGGAGCTGGAACTAGAGACGGGAGCTCACTCCATCATGCGGTACACTTTGGTCTCGAACTGCTGAACTACTGACCTTCCACAGCCTGTAGTTCAGCGTCTTAACCACTTGAGCCACCGCAGCTCCTAGGACAGTCATACAGAACAACAGAAACTGGCCCGGGCTATTTTGGGGCAGGAACGCACAGGAACAGAGTTCCGTCTGGCTTCAGAGTTGGCCACGCCCACTATAGCCAAAACATCTGCGTGCGTGGCTACAGAGGGAAGGCCTGGAGAGCGACCCCCCCCCCCCGGTGACCCCGAGCGGGGCGGGCCCGGGGGCCCCTAAGAGGATCCCCTAGAAGGATCGGAGAGGCATTTAAATGCCTCCCCGTGCCTTCCCCAGCCTGTCCAAGGGCCGGCTTACCTGGGCTCCCCACAGCCTTGGGGCGCCTGGGCAAGCCAAGGGAAGGCATTTTAAACTGCCTCCCCTCCCCTGCGAGGGCCAGCTTGCCCGGGCCCCCCACAAGAAGGCACAGGGGTGTGGCCTAATATGTTAATGAGCTGCGCTGTCAGGGGGTGTGGCCAAATATTCTAACGAGTGTTTGCTGTTGGTTGTGGCCTATTATGCTAGTGAGTTCCTGCTGGGCTTTTTCTGCAAAAAAAAAAAAAAAGCCCTGAGAAACTCCATCCCTTAAACATACGTACTCTGTGTAGACACTGTTCCACACAGTCAAATGTAGGTTCTCTGACTGATTACATGAATTTTCACCATTCTAATCCTCACCAAGGAGCTGCGGTGGCTCAAGTGGTTAAGACGCTGAACTGCAGGCTGTGGAAGGTTGGTAGTTCAGCAGTTCGAGACCCGAGTGTGCCACATGACGGAGTGAGCTCCCGTCTCTAGTTCCAGCTCCTGCCAACTTAGCCGTTCGAAAGCAAGAAATTGCAAGTAGATCAATAGGTACCACTTCGGTGGGAAGGGAACAGCGTTCCGTGCACCTTGGTGTTTAGTCATGCCGGCCACATGACCACGGAAACGTCTTTGGACAGCGCTGGCTCTTCGGCTTTGAAACGGAGATGAGCACCGCAACCCTAGAGTCGGACTCGACTGGCTTTCGAGCAAGGGAAACCTTTACCTTTACTTTAATCCTCACCAGCTCCCCAGGTTTGTGTAAAACAGGGTGTACAGAATCCCAAGGAGAGTGTTACACATATGAACACACATTAAACTGCCTTATCCTGAATCACACCCTTGGCCCATCAGGTTCAGTCTTGTCTACTCAGACTGGCAACAGCCCTCCAGGTCTCAGGCAAGCAGAGTTCTTACACATCACCGACTGCTAGATCCAGTAACTGGAGGTGCCGGGGATTGAACCTGGGACCTCCTGCGTGCCAAGCAGGTGCTCTACCACTGAGCAGTCCCTCCCTTGTCTCAGCCTGTGATACATGGTTTTAATGGCTGTGGTATGTTTGTCAGGGACTCATAACCCCCCTTGGTAATGTTTCTTGTTGGTTGTGTGTGTTTCTTTGAGCCTAGATTGGAAAAATCTGCGTCAACAACTGCATGAGGTTTGCAGGCATCAATGTCACATACAGTCTGCAGGCCCCCAACATCAGCTGCTACGCCATGAGGATTGCCCAGAGGCCTGACGACAAGTACGGGCGCCTCTACGTGAACGATTCCACTGTGCTCCAGAGACCCGAGTGCAGAGAAGTCCTGTACCCCGTCCTAGGCGTCGACAACCAGAGCAAGAAAGAAGCTCTCACCCATCTCACAGTTGTCCTGGATGGAAAATGTAAGTGTATAGGCTTCTGCCCCCCATGCCTGTCCAGACATGAGAGGGAAACCCATACTTTTTCAACAACAACCCAGAGAGGTATGCTACCCTCTCTGGATTCAGAACAATTTGCCACCAGAACCTTTTTAAACTAGAGTCCCCTTCCAGCCCAAGAGCAAGGTTCAGACTCTTAACTGGCCTCTGGGACTTTACACATTAGCACCTCTATCCCAGAGATGCACACTTAATGGTCAATGGTAGCATGTAGCCAGCTAAGCACAAGTAAAATAGACTTGGAATCTCAGTTACAACATCAAAGACAAGTTAGAAATCAGAATAAGTTTATTCAGTACAGAACTTAGCATAGACTAGAAGGATTTAAAAACAAGAAAGGCTAGGGCAGTTTGCCTTAACTAAACAGTAATTCATATTTACCAATTCAGGATAGCGTCAGTCCAATAATCCCGTTAGACACCAAGGGATTTGTAAGAGCAGGAATCCCATCTTTGCAAGCATGTGCTCAGCTCACAAAGCAGTTCTTTGTTCCACCTGGGACAGCATTTCCAGGTGCAATTCAAACAAGTAGAGAGAGAGCAGGAACAGAGAGCTCTCTTCCAAGGGGCCAAACAATTAAACCCCAATGTAATCATGACTAGCCGTGGCCATGCAGCCAATCACGAGTAGCAGGGTGTGTGGCCAATTTTTTGGTTGTCATGGTAGCTTGAGGGGATAGGTTGGAAGTTTGGGAACTCCCTCTGCAGTCAGGTGACTCCCAAACTCCAAACTTCATTGCGTACGTGACTCTTTACATGAGGTCTGCCATTTGGCACGAACGTGTGAAAGAATGTGGGTTTATGGCATGCTATTGAGGCCATCTGGGCCTCACTATTTGGCTTGCGAGAGGAAGTAAGCCACAGCGTTATCAGAAGATATCACATGAGAAGGCAAGAGGCTTTTAGAAATCAATATTTCTACACAGTAAGTCAGTGCCTGGCTTGGGTCTTTTACTGCACTCTGTGGGTCGGGACCCAAAAGTGGGACAGAAAAGCCTCTGAAAGTGGCTTGTGGGTCAGCCCTCCCTAATGGCTGCACCTGCCCTTTCCTTGGATCTCTTTTGTATCTCGGAAACCAAGATCTGACTCTGGAAAGTCTCTTCCACTTCATACATTAGTTGGTATTTTGTTCTTCCCTGCATGTACGTGTTGATCCAGTAAAACGTGGTTACTAATGTGAGTGAGAATCTTGTGGTGAGGTTTAGAGGGAGTGACAGAGAAGGAGGGGGTGGTCAGAGGCTGAAATGTCACCTCCACATGAAAGGTTGTGTAAGTCAGGCCCCGGTCACACGGGCCAGATAACGCAGGGGGTGTGTGTGGCTGTTCACCCCGGAGCAAAATAAAGCGCGGTAGCCCGATCACACGGTCCCCCGAGTCTCCGTGCTTAGGCTGTTAGCTGGCGATCACACGGCGATGCTGCAGCCTGGCAAAGCGGTGCGGCGCGATCACACAAGTGTTTTGCGTTTGTGCGCATGCGCATTTCCGCAGAGCAGCACTGCTTTCAGTTTTGTGTTTGTGCACATGCGCTTACGAAAAACATCCGATTTGCGATGCGACAGGCGCCGGATGCCACAAGATAGTAGCGCTCCCGCGATCAGACGCCGCCTGTGCAACGTGTTTTTCCGGATACTAGTGCACTTTCCTTGGTACTTTTTAACTCCGCATTTTCGTCAGGACGCCACAGGTGCACTATGCTTCCCAGATGTTGCGGTGTGATCACGCCCCGGAAATCCGCCCAACATTCGTGCCTTTCGCCCGGCAAATTCTCCGTGTGACCAAGGCTCATGTTGATCAAGTAAAACGTATCCTGATGGTTACTAGAGTGAGTGAGAATCTTAGGTGGGTTAGAGGGAGTGACGGAGAAGGAGGGGGTGGTCAGAGACTGGAATGTCACCTCCATGTGAAAGGTTATGTCAGTCAAAATGCCACTTGCTCGGGGCTCACTTGCCTTTTGTGCGATGTTTGTTGGTTTCTCAAAAACATCTGGTTGACCACTTGCAGAAAACAAAATGTTGCTGGATGGATGCCAGGGTCGTACTTCACCTAGGGCACTTGAATGGGTCTTGGATGGGTCACCACCAATGTTCCCTCTAAGCTGTGGAGTCTTGTGAGCAAAAAATCTGTTTTGTGAGCTACTGGCATTAAAGTTGTGAGCAAGCAATTGGGCTGCTGCCTAAATTAGTTTGCTCTGGAGCCCTCCTTCTTGAGCTAAGGCAAAAAGGTGTGAGCCAGAGGCTAAAAACAGTGAGCTAGCTCACACTAACTCAGCTTAGAGGGAACACTGGTCACCACACTGACAACTTTGGACTTGTCGGGCACAATACCAAGTCAATTTGGACTTTCTGGGTCTCCCTACTGGAAAGGTTGGGAAGCCCTGTTCTAGTGAGATGATCTCTGATTAACTGAGTGCCTCTGTTGGTTGAAGCTGCATAAGGTCTGCTTGTACTCAGATGGTTTCATGGGATAGCAGCTTTCTGCCATGCAAATAAAAGAAGGCAGATTTGGGATTGGAAAGAAGCCCTCAGAGGGTGTGTGGTTAGCCTTGTTTCAGGAGCAGAGCTACGTGTTGGCGTCATGCTTTGTTTCTCTGCTTGGCTTCAGCTGTGAGGCCTGCGTGTCATTACCGTTTGAGGAGAGGCGATTGACGGCTTCTCTGTGGGGTATTTCACAGGTGTAAGACTTGATGTTGCAAGTGAAGAGCTGTCGTTTTAAGTGGCCCCCACAGTACAGCTGTTAACGAAGATGTTTCCCAAGAGAACATGAACACACCGGAGTCATACTTCCTTGTTCATGGAGCACTCCAGGGATCCCTATGGGTTTGGTTTTTTTAGAAGCCTCAGTCTAAAGCTTCAGAATCCACACAAGATGTACTGGATGCTTTATTCAGAATTCCTTGAGGATCACTGACATTCACAGTATTTCTTCACACCTAAAGGTAAAGGTTTCCTTGGAGCTGTGGTAGCTCAAGTGGTTAAGACGCTGAACTGCAGGCTGTGGAAGGTCAGTAGTTCAGCAGTTTGAGACCCGGGTGCCGCACGACGGAGTGAGCTCCTGTCTCTAGTTCCAGCTCCTGCCAACCTAGCAGTTCGAAAGCAAGAAATTGCAAGTAGATAAATAGGTACCACTTCAGTGGGAAGGTAACAGCGTTCCATGGGCCTTGGTGTTTAGTCATGCCGGCCACATGACCACGGAAACGTCTTCGGACAGCGCTGGCTCTTCGGCTTTGAAATGGAGATGAGCACCGCAACCCTAGAGTCGGACTCGACTGGCTTTCGAGCAAGGGAACCTTTACCTTTACCTAAAGGTTTCCCTTGCTCAAAAGCCAGTCGAATCCAACTCTAGGGTGTGGTGCTCATCTCCGTTTCCAAGCTGAAGAGCCAGCGCTGTCTAAAGATGCTTCCGTGGTCATGTGGCCAGCATGACTAGATGCCGAGGCGCACGGAACGCTGTTACCTTCCCACCAAAGTGGTACCTATTTATCTACTTGCAATTTCTTGCTTTCGAACTGCTAAGTTGGCAGGCGCTGGGACCAGAGACGGGAGCTCACTCCGTCATGCGGTGCACTTGGGTCTTGAACTGCTGAACTACTGACCTTCCGGCCTGCATTTCAGCATCTTAACCACTGAGCCACTGCAGCCCCTAGTAGAATACGCCTACGTTCAGTTGAATAAAAGATTCCCTCTGTTGTTGCTGCTGGTGAGGCTGTTAATTTATGCCATCAATGTAATATGGCACAGTTTACAGAATAATGTTAGCAAAAGAGAAAGACAGGTCTGCGCCGTCAGCGGCAAAGAGGGAGGAAGCTTCGTTCATCAGAATCCTGAATCTCGAAAGTTTCTGCCGCAGCAATCTTGTTTGCCTTTCCCATGCTCTGGGAAACCTCACTGTTCTAACGCAGACCAATGCAGCTAACCTTTGGAAAGAGTCATTGATTTCGCAAAAACACCTGGGGTGATTTCCCACAAGTACTGCTCCACGCTCACTCCTCCCTTTTGCAGAATTCCTTGAGGATCACTGACATTCACACTATTTCTTCAGTGAATCATAGAATATGCCTAAAGGTAAAGGTTTCCCTTGCTCAAAAGCCAGTCGAATTCGACTTTAGGGTGTGGTGCTCATCTCTGTTTCCAAGCTGAAGAGCCAGCGCTGTCCAAAGATGCTTCCGTGGTCATGTGGCCAGCATGACTAGATGCCAAAGCGCACGGAACGCTGTTACCTTCCCACCGAAGCGGTACCTATTTAAAAAGGTAAAGGTAAAGGTTCCCTTGCTCAGAAGCCAGTCAAATCCGACTCTGGGGTTGCAGTGCTCATCTCCGTTTCAAAGCTGAAGAGCCAGCGCTGTCCAAAGACGTTTCCGTGGTCATGTGGCCGGCATGACTAAACACCAAGGTGCATGAAACGCTGTTTATCTACTTGCAATTTCTTGCTTTTGAACTGCTAGGTTGGCAGGCACTGGGACCAGAGATGGGAGCTCACTCCATATGCAGCACTCAGGTCTCAAACTGCTGATCTACTGACTTTCCGGCCTGCAGTTCAGCATCTTAACCACTGAGCCACTGCAGCTCCTAGCAGAATACGCCTACGTTCAGTTGAATAAAAAGTTCCCTTTGTTGTTGCTGCTGGCGATGCTGTTAATTTATGCCATCAATGTAATATGGCACAGTTTACAGAATAATGTTAGCAAAAGATAAAGTCAGGTCTGCGCCATCAGCGGCAAAGAGGGAAGAAGCTTCCTTCATCAGAATCCTGACTCTCGAAAGCTTCTACCGCAGCAATCTTGTTGGCCTCTCCCATGCTCTGGACTCAAACCTCACTGTTCTAATGCAGACCAATGCAGCTACCCTTTGGAAAGAGTCATTGATTTCTCAAAAACACCTGGTTGGGCGCTGTAGAGAACGAAATGCTGAACTACATAGGTGCCAGGATCATACTTCACCTCGGGCACTTGAGTGGGCTTGGATGGGACCATACCGACAAATTTGGACTTTCTTTCACAAGGGCCTGTCCCATAGTACAAATCTCTTAAAGCAGTCCCTCTAAAAAAAAATTTTTTTCCCCAGGGGGAGTATTTAGATACGTTACATAGGCTGCAGTCACACGGACCATTAGCCACGCTAATGGCGGATAGGCGGATATTCCCGGCGCGATCACACCACAACATCTGGGAAGTGTAGAGCTCCCATGGCGAACCCGAGGCTTCCCGTCGAAGATGCGGAGTTAAAAACTAGTACCTCCGAGGTACTAGTTTCCGGAAACCGCGGGACAAGGGCTGGCGTCTGATCACATTTCCGGTGGTAATCCGTGGCATTGGGCGCCCGCCCATGTCCCGTCGCAAACAGGTTTTTTTCCCCCAAGTCTCCACAGGATGAGCACAAGCACCCAACAGCGCATGCGCACAAAGAGGATAGCGAAAGTTCCGTTGCTCCGCAGAATTGTGCATGCCGTTGGTGAGATCGCGCCGCGCCACTTCTTTGCCGTGCTGCAGGATCGTCGTGTGATCGCCACCTCGCCCCTACCCACAGGACCTCGACGGGACGTGTGATCGGGCGGCCACGCGTTACTTTGCTCCGGGCCAAACTGCCATGTTTCCCCCCCCCCCCCGCGCATTTTACGGCCCGTGTGACCGGGACCATACTTTAGATACTTTTTAAACACACCTTTTTTTAATCATCCTATATTTTATTACTTACTGGGAAAACTGTGAATTCTAGTCCCCATACGAAACCAACATTCTTCTGGCAGCCAGCTAGGTAGAGAGATGTTTCAGATTATGTGCATATGGACACATGAAACTGCCTTATACTGAGTCAGACCCTGGGTCCATCAAGGTCGGTATTGTCTACTCAGACTGGCAGCCTCTTTCCAGGGTCTCAGGCTGAGATCTTTCACATCACCTGGTCCTTTTTAGCTGGAGATGCCGGGGATTGAACCTGGGGCCTTCTGCATGCCAAGCAGAGGCTCTACCAATGAGCCACAGCCCCTCCCCTCAAGACATCTAGCAATCTGTAGACACAGTGAGAGACAATGGAGTAGATCCAACCGCCTTTCAAGGAGCCCCTTCAGTTTCGGGAAAGCTCCTCAGATTGGAGGACGGCTTCACATCAGGGCAAGAAAGAAAGGTGGAGCATCGATATTTTAATGGATAAATAAATAAGTTTTGCTCAGTGGTTTGGAAGAACAGAATAGGGTCCACCCCAATAGGTATTGTATTATTGAAGCGAAAGGAGAGGATTTTCCTGTTTTGGGTTTTGTCTGGGTTGAGAAGAAGCGGTCTGTGTGGAGTTTGTATTGTCCTGATGGCGATAACGGCCTTCTGCTTCTTCCCAGTTATCGGCTTCACATCAGGGCAAGAAAGAAAGGTGGAGCATCGATATTTTAATGGATAAATAAATAAGCTTTGCTCAGTGGTTTGGGAAGAACAGAATAGGGTCCACCCCAATAGGTATTGTATTATTGAAGCGAAAGGAGTGGATTTTCCAGTTTTTTGGTTTTGTCTGGGTTGAGAAGGAACGGTCTGTGTGGAGTTTGTATTGTCCTGAGGGCGAGGCAGGGCAGCTTTCCTTACCTTCCCCAGCCTCCTCGCTGCTGGGGAAGGAAAAGAGAGAGAAGGCATGGTGATATTGGTGGGGGAAAGCCAATCTCTCTCTTTCCCATAACTTTCTGTGGCAGGGAGGGTGGGGGAGGGGTTTAGTGATGGTGGGGAAGTCAGTCTCTCTCCTGGGGTTGCCAATCTCCAGGTGGTATACAGAAATACAAACCACAAGGGGTAGGCCATCAAAAAATTCACAAATGTCACCAGTTGCCAGTAGACATCAGTCTTTTGCAACATAATTATAGGACGTCGATTGATAAAGTAGAATTGGTGGTCACCATTCAAATTGAATGTCTCAGATTCCATTTGAGACATGAGCTGTGCCTAGACTATTATGGAAATCAGGTTCCATTTTTCAGCCGTATAATTGAGGAAGAATGCTTTGAAACGTCTGCCCTATCTAGGAAGGACGTTTTCGGCTGCAGAAGTTTATTTGTGCTATGGGGCATCCTCTGCCTTGTTTGTGGACTGTGAGCTCTTTTGGGTACTATTATAAAAGGATATAGAGGAGTCTCCTGCTGGATTCTTTTTCTGCTATTAAATTGTCATACCTTCTCTTGTTAAATGTGTGTATTGCAATGGGCTTTTGAATTTTCAATGTGGTGATCAACCTAGATACATTTAGTTGTAGATTTTCAGGGCTGCATGGCCATGGTATAACACAGAAAGATGGAGAATATTTAGAGGTACAACACAGAAAGATGGAGTGCTCTCTGTGTCTCACCTTGACAGAGAGAGTATTCCATCTTTCTGTGTTATACCTCTGAGGATGCCAGTCACAGCCAATGTTCCCTCTAAGCCATGGAGTCTTGTGAGCATGCTTTTGAATTTTTAATGTGGTTATCAACCTAGATATATTTAGTTGTAGATTTTCAGGGCTGCATGACCATGGTATAACACAGAAAGATGGAGAATCCTCAGAGGTATAACACGGAAAGATGGAGTGCTCTCTGTGTCTCACCTTGACACAGAGAGTACTCCATCTTTCTGTGTTATACCTCTGAGGATGCCAGTCACAGCCAATGTTCCCTCTAAGCCATGGAGTCTTGTGAGCAAAAATTCTACTTTGTGAGCTACTGGCATTAAAGTTGTGAGCAAGCGATTTGACTACTACATAAATCAGTTTCCTCTAGAGCCATCCTTCCTGAGCTGAGACAAAAACGTGTGAGCGGGAGGCTAAAAAATGGTGAGCTAGCTCACACTAACTCAGCTTAGAGGGAACACTGGTCACAGCTACTGGTGAAACATCAGGTCCTACAATGCCAAGACCACGGCCATACAGCCCGGAAAATCTACAACAACTAATGTCTCATCCTATTTCCAGTGTCTTTACACACAAAGATACACAAAGCTGTAGATAGAAAAAGGGCAGGGAGGAGCTAGAAAAAAGAGAGGTCGAAAGGCACAGCATCTCAAGACACACGAGCGCAATTATCCAGCCTTCTTACCGATGACTGGATTATTATCCTGATGCAGAGAAGGATGTAGTTTTCCTTTTGTCTTTCCTTGGAGTTAAACGTCAGTGAGTTGAGGGCTGCCAACCAAACATGGCCTGTCAGTCACTAATCCGATCCTTATCTCGTACCATTCATAGATCTCTTCCTGTGGTAGTACTAGATTGATATAGCCAAAAGAAAACAGGAAACCAGTGTCCTCTTAAAGACTGTCTTCTTAAAGACACAGTTTTCCACCTGGAACTCTCCCAAAAGAGTTTTCAGCTGCAGAAAACTATACAAGCTGATCAAACTTCAGTATAATCACAAACAGAAGGACTTCCCAGCTATAAGAGTAAGTGGCAAAAAAGCAGTGGAATCAGACGCTAAACAATATACAAAATCAATAATATATTGTAATGTTACGATCAAGAACAATCTGGTTGTGAAAACCAATGTGACAACATATACTTATTTAATGCAACAATAGTACAATATTATAATCATAAGAAGGTCATTGGAAGGTACGAATATCCCGGGGGTACACTTTGTTTCGAGTTACATCTTCTTCAGCAAAGTGAATATAAATATGAACATTTGTAGTGTTTTATGTCTCAACATTTGCAATTTTTTTGTGTGTGGATTGTTATTTTCAGTTTCCAATCTTCTCTACGAAACAGATGGGCAACCAGTCACAATTTTCAGTGGTCCGCTCTTAAGCATTCAGTATATGCATTCAGTTCCTTGGTATTGTCTTGCAGGGAACTCGTATGCAGCATTATTGTAAGATCTTGGGGTAATGTTCGTATTGATTGTCCCTGCACTGTAGAGCTTCTGGAGACGCTAAAAGTGATGTAGAATGATCTTTCCTTTGCTTGTTTTCTGTTCTAGGAATTACTCCAAACTATTCTACATGCAGTCCGAGCATCATTACCTGTCCAGATGGTAAATGTGATGCAGTTGAGCACCTGGATCCAAAGATATGCCCTCAGGATTGCACAAGTATGTAAGCCAGTCCTTTCTACATTCATTTGTCCATTCCTGGTTGAGTCAGATCTAGCTACAGTGATCCATACCTTAGTTACATCGAGACTGGACTACTGCAATGTGCTTTATGTGGGGCTGCCCTTAAAGAGTATTCAGAGTCGAGTGGCACCTTTAAGACCAGCAAAGTTTAATTCTGGGTATAAGCTCTCGTGTGCATGCAACACTTCTTCAGATCTTATAAAAGGTAAAGGTAAAGGTTCCCTTGCTCGAAAGTCAGTCGAATCCGACTCTAGGGTTGCGGTGCTCATCTCCGTTTCAAAGCCGAAGAGCCAGCGCTGTCCGAAGACGTTTCCGTGGTCATGTGGCCAGCATGACTAAACACCAAGGCGCACGGATCTTATAGCCAGAACTAAACTTCGTCTGTCTTAAAGGCACCACTCGACTCAAACTTTGTTCTGCCACCAGGGGGATTCTCCAGGAACAGCTGCAAAGGCCATTTCTGAGTTTTCCAGGTGCAGGATTGAGATTCCTGTGGATGCAAACCAATACAATAATAAAGTTTGAGTCGTGAGAGAAGTGATTTTCTTGGTAACCGTTATTAAATTAGGCTCTGACGCTCGCAGCTAACCAGTGCTGTGAGTTTTAGTTCTGAAAAAAAATGCATGGTTATATTAAATAATGCCATATCCTGCCTGATGAGTTTAAGGCTCGAGGGTAATATAATGCAGTCACGGGCAGAGCTTGCGTTTCTTGCCTCTAAATGTCGCCAAGTGGTCGGCAAAAATTGTTACGTATCATCATTGGCTTTTTAAGATGAGGAAATTCAATAGCAAATTTAAGGCTCGAGGGTAATATAATGCAGTTACGGGCAGAGCTTGCGTGCCTTGCCTCTAAGTGTCTCCAAGCGGTCGGCAAAAATTGTTAGGTTATCATCGTTGCCTTTTTAAGATGAGGAAATTCAATAGCAATAAGGCGAACTTACTCATCCAAGACATGAGTTCACTTTTTTAATATGTCTGGCATTAGACATTCTATCCTTGGTCTGTCCGGTTCATCATGTTATAAGCCTACCTTTCTGATTTTTATTTACTAGTTATTTTCTCTCTCTCACCGTTCTGCCAAGTAGCTCGGGGCAGAATACTGGAGATTCCCTGCTTCTTCCATCCAGATAATTGCAAATACCTTTTGGGAGACGTGCATTTCCCCTGAGCTCAGTTTACTCTCCTCCTCAGTGCTCCTGTGCAGGATAAGGTGGAGGAAGGAAAAATACAGATGTTGTACTACTCCGATTTAAAGTGAGCAGTATGAACACCAGAAGGTGCCTTACGCTGAATCTTAGAACTGGTCCGTCCAAATCAGTATTGTCTACTCAGACAAGTAGCAGCTCTCCAGGGTCACAGGCTGAGGTCTTTCACATCACCTAGACTGATTTCACACAAGAGCTGCGCCCTGGTCACACCTCCCTTTGCCCCACTTCTATTGGCCAGTTTCCCACTCAAAGCCGCGTGGCCATGTTTTGACCCGCAGCTTCGCCCAATTTTCCCCGCGGTTTCGTGATCCTCAAAAAACAGGATCACAATCTGATTTAAAGGAAGAGTTATAGAGTTTTAGTAAGCCTAACAAGATTGCGGCATTGTGGTATAATTGCAGGTCTGGGAGAGCTAGGCTGCCCGCTTTTTGTGCCCGTATCAGGGTTTCTGTGTATGCCCGAATTCCATATGTATTTGGTAGTCAGTGATTTCCAGAGTTGGAAGGAGGATCTAGGTATGTCTATAGGTATAGTTCTAAATAGATATAAGAATTTAGGTAAAATGAACGTTTTGAAAATTTGTATTCTTTTGATCCATGCTGAGAGTGCAGTGGACTTACAAGAGAGTAAGTCAGTAAAAAGATGTAACAGTTAATTCAAACCTCTCACGTAAAAACCCCAATCTTCATTTGAAATGGTTCCCTTTTCTTGAACATATGTTTAATTCTGAGTTCTCTAAATTCAATGTTCCTAAAAAATATTATGACGTTTTTCACCACATGTGAACAATTTCAAAGTTCATATATACTTATGCCGTTATCTTTGTTGAGTACTAGTGTTGTTGACAACCATGAAAGTTTGTGTATTGTTTAAGTTGAAATAAAATTTAAAAAAAATATTTTTTAAAAAAACAGGATCACAAAACAGCAGGGAAAATGGGCGAAGCCGCGGGTTAAAACGCGGCCGTGTGACTTTGAGTGGGAAATTGACCAATAGATGCGGGGCAAAGGGAGGCATGACCGCGACGCAGCTCTTGTGTGAAATCGGTCCTACTGTCTGGTCCTTTTTAACTGGAGATGCCAGGGACTGAACCTGGGACCTTCCGCACGACAGGCAGATGCTCTGCCACTGTACCACGCCCCTTCCCCTGCTCATTCAGCTGGCCTTTGAACCTCACTGTGTCATTCGACAGTTGTGCCATTTCACTAGGCTGGTGATGTTCAGTGCTGCCTAAGCAAGGAGCCTAGCTCCAGAGATGAGTACTGCACTGCGGGTGGGTGTGCATCCCCCCCTTCCCCCCCCAGCCGCACCATGTGCGGCACTTAGAAGGTCACTCAGCTGTACGTGGCCGTCCCATGGCTGAGGAAGACAGTATGAAACTAAAGCTGAATAAATCTGGAGTCTTCGTCTATTCATTGGAATTCAAGACTGTAATCTTTCCCATTGGGATAGTTTGGGCTTTGAATGACTAGGTAAAGGTAAAGGTTCCCTTGCTCGAAAGCCAGTCGAGTCTGACTCTAGGGTTGCGGTGCTCATCTCCGTTTCCAAGCCGAAGAGCCAGCGCTGTCCGAAGACGTTTCCGTGGTCATGTGGCCGGCATGACTAAACACCAAGGCGCACGGAACGCTGTTGCCTTCCCACCAAAGTGGTCCCTATTTATCTACTTGCAATTTCTTGCTTTCGAACGGCTAGGTTGGCAGGAACTGGAACTAGAGACGGGAGCTCACTCCATCATGTGGCACCCGGGTCTTGAACTGCTGAACTACTGACCTTCCACAGCCTGCAGTTCAGCGTCTTAACCACTTGAGCCACTGCAGCTCCTTGAATGACTACACAGTCGTGTTTCTTTAACTCACGTTTAAATTTTCTATATAAGCCCTACTATTTGGACTGTACTTCTGAATATATACTGGAGAATGTTGGAATTTTGTAAAAGATATAGACACAAATTGATTTCCCTGTATCATAGGATTCTTTGATGTAACTTTGTGAGAAGAATGATTCTCTGATAGTACATTGTATATTAGTGGAGAATGTTGGAATTTTGTAAAAGATATAGACACAAATTGATTTCCCTATATGATAGGATTCTTTGATTTAACTTTGTGAGAAGAATGATCCTCTGATAGTACATTGTATATTAGTGGGTTGAAATCTGAATGAAAAAAAATACACCTTCGTGGTTTTTATAAAAATAGTCTTTATTAGTCTGCAGCGTCATATTGGTACGGTTTTACAGTTTTCTGTTTGTGTCCTGTAAATTTGCCAGCATTTACTCATCCATTGGTATGGGAGGTATAAAGTGAGCAATGGTACAGCTGATTTTGCCTGCACGGCAAATCTGAATACTACCACACATCTTTACATCATTGTCTAATAACATATTTAAGGCAGGCTGTTCTTTAGCAGCAAATGGTAATCATCTTGCCGATCAGACGGAATGAGCTCTCGTACCACCTTAAACACTAAACCCCAGGGACATTTGCCAGTTTTCTCACCCGTGGTTATTTGCCTCGCTTTAACTTGAGCCAGCTTTCAAACCCTCCTCCGAGTAAACCTGCAGAGCGTATTTGAAATGAACCATTGAGCCCTGTCTGTGGAACAGAGCTTGCTTACATCTGTCTTTCATTTAGAGAACAACATCGTTGGTGGCCATGAGAGAGGTCTTACCGGAATCAAGGCAGGAAATGGAATTTGTTACTGCTTCCCAGACGAAAACTGTTACTGTGAGAAAGACGATATCAGAGGTGAGTATGAAGATTATTTGACTCATTTTTTTCTACAAGCACAGTACCGAAGGCTCCAGTGCTTTTATGACATTCTCATCTTTAGTTGATAAAAGCTTTTATGTTCTTGTGTTTTTTAATGTAGAAAGGATGGCTGGAAGTACTTACAGTGTAATGAGGTGAATGAGTTTCTGTCTTCCCCTTGTATCTGATGAAGTGAGCTCTGTCTCACAAAAACTCATAGTGGAATAGTTAGTCTTTAAGGGGCCACTGGATATGGGTCTTGTTTTGGAAGTGCTCAGTCACAGAGGATAGAGTACATCACCCAGGATAGCAGAGAGTCACTGCAGACTTTTCTTTCCTGCAACAAGAAGAAAAGGGAGAGCTATAAAAAAACTGAACAAGAAGGGACCCCAAGGTATACTGTATATTAACAATAGTTACAAGATTAATACGTTGTCGAAGGCTTCCACGACTGGCGTTCATTAGCTGTTGTAGATTTTCTGGATTGTATGGCCGTGGTCTTGGCATTGTAGGACCTGATGTTTCGCCAGTAGCTGTGACTGGCATCCTCAGTGGTATAACACAGATAGATGGAGTACTCTCTGTGTCAAGGTGATAAGAAAAATGGTAGGCAGGTAATTTATATCTACTCAGGAAGGTGGGGTAGGGCTGAGTCATTCTCTTGTAGGAGTTCCCCAGACTGTGAAACATGCTAATGGAGGAGCTTTCCTGAGGAGGTTCTTTTGTATATGGATTGTTTCCTGAGGAGGTTTCCTGTTTCCTGAGGAGGTTCTTTTGCGTGTGGATTCTAATCTTATCTGTAGTGCTGTTGTCAGATGTAGAGCCTTTTGTGTTTTTCAGGACAGGGAACCATGCCCTATTTATTTTTAAACTCTTTTCTTCCCTGTTGAAAATGTGTTTATGTTTATGAATTCCAATGGCTTCCCTGTGTAATTAGCACGTTAGATACTGGTGAAGCGTGAGGTCCTACAGTGCCAAGACCACGGCCATACAACCCGGAAAATCTACAACAGCTAAAGTTACAAAATTAACAAGGAGGAAATGTTAGGGATGTGCTGACCATCTGTCAATACGTGATGAATGATAAGTCCCCTGATCTATAGGGGCTTTTCGTTGATTCAGACCCCATAATGCTTTGGTCTATCCCCTGATTTCTGCAGCAATTTTTTGGGCCTTTAGTTTTCACTTTGTCTTTGTTTTGTTTAGAGACACTTTTACCCTGATGATTTTTCTGGAAGCCAATTCTGAGTCGCCTTTTTCCCCATGTGAAATATTTCTGTCAGTTTACTTTGAGCTGCCCACTCCCATTCACCTCCAGCCCGGTCAAGCACACCCCACCCAAAGAACAGTGGCTTCTTTTTTTAATAGCACTAAACTAGAGATAGGCCCCGGTCACACGGGCCGGATATCGCGGGAGGAGGGAAGGTGTGGCTGTTTGCCCCGGAGCGAACTACCGCGCAGCCGCTGGATCAAACGATTAACAAGGAGGAAATGCTAGGGATGTGCTGACCATCTGTCAATACATGATGAATGATAAGTCCCCTGATCTATATGGGGTTTTTCGTTGATTCAGACCCCATAATGCTTTGGTCTATCCCCTGATTTCTGCAGCAATTTTTGGGCCTTTAGTTTTCACTTTGTCTTTGTTTTGTTTAGAGACACTTTTACCCTGATGATTTTTCTGGAAGCCAATTCTGAGTCGCCTTTTTCCCCATGTGAAATATTTCTGTCAGTTTTCTTTGTGGTGCCCACTCCCATTCACCTCCAGCCCGGTCAAGCACACCCCACCCAAGCAGTTTGAAAGCAAGAAATTGCAAGTAGATAAATAGGTACCACTTCGGTGGGAAGGGAACAGCGTTCCGTGCGCCTTGGTGTTTAGTCATGCCGGCCACATGACCACGGAAACGTCTTCGGACAGCGCTGGCTCTTCGGCTTTGAAATGGAGATGAGCACCGCAACCCTAGAGTCGGATTCGACTGGCTTTCGAGCAAGGGAACCTTTACCTTTACTGTGACACCAGTGGGGATGATAGCACCCTGCCTTGAAAATGGCCATTATTGAATACATGTGCAGGAAAAAATGAACTGTCTCCATGCAGTGAAAATGCAGGGGGAGGGCAGACATGTGCAAAAATGCTCCCCAAACTGATTCCAGTGCTTGTGAATCAACTCCCAAGAAGAGAAGAGATTGGATTTATACCCCCCCCCTTCACTCGGAGTCTCAGAGCAGCTTACAAACTCCTTTCCCTTCCCCTCCCAATGGACACCCTGTGAGGTAGGCGGGGCTGAGAGAGCTCTTGACGGAAACGGCTTTTTCCAGCACAGCTCTTATCAGAACTAAGGCTTGCCCAAGGTCATCCAGCCGCTGCCAGCGGAGGGGGAGTGGGGAATCAAATCCTGTTCTCCCAGATTAGAGTCCGCGCACTTAACCACTACACCAAACTGGCTCTCCACACAGTCAACTGAGGACTAAGTTGAGTGTGTGGAAAAGCCTGTACGCTGATTTCAAAAAGTTCTTCTCCAGATTTCAACAACTGGAGTCCAAATGAGGGGAAATCCTCAGGCATCCTCATAAACCATGAGAAGGAAAGAAGCCAACAGTTATGTAGTCCTCATCACATGGAAAAAGACAAGCAGCTGTATCGCTTACAATTCCTGAAGTATGAGGTTAATACCACAAAGGGTTCATAAAACACATCCCTGAAAGGGAGAAGAATTGCTACTTTGTTACGTCTTTAAAAAGGTAAAGGTTCCCTTGCTCCAAAGCCAGTCGAATCCGACTCTAGGGTTGCGGTGCTCATCTCCGTTTCAAAGCCGAAGAGCCAGCGCTGTCCGAAGACGTTTCCGTGGTCATGTGGCCGGCATGACTAAACACCAAGGCGCACGGAACGCTGTGACCTTCCCACTGAAGCGGTACCTATTTATCTACTTGCAATGTCTTGCTTTCGAACTGCTAGGTTGGCAGGAGCTGGAACGAGAGACGGGAGCTCACTCTGTCATGCGGCACACTTGGGTCTCGAACTGCTGAACTACCGACCTTCCACAGCCTGCAGTTCAGCGTCTTAACCACTTGAGCCACCGCAGCTCCTGTTACGTCTTACAAAGGACAAATACTCCAAATGTGCCCTAAAATTCTATCTTCAAATTTAAGGGGGCAGAAACAACGAGCGTTTAAAAAGCCCATTATAGCAAAAATCCCAACTACTTATTCATGAGCAAGGAGCCATTAAAATTTTTTAAAAAATATTTTATTTATATTCCACCTTTCGCCTCAAGGGGGACCCAAAGCAGCTTACATAATTCTCCTGACCCCCATTTTATCCTCACAACAACCCTGTGAGGTAGCTGAGGCTGAGAGTGTGTGACTGGCCCAGGGTCACTCAGCAAGCTCCCATGGCACGAGTAGGGATTGGAACCTGGGTCTCCTAGATCCTGGTCTAGTCCAGCACTTTAACCACTATACCATGCTGGAAAATCCCCGGCTCCTACCCTGCAGTCTCTTCTGAAATGATTGCAATCCAAAGTAATCACAGAAGAAGGGGTCCAAGTAAAAGCCATGGACTAGATTGAAGAACAGCAACGTAACAATTACGACAATACAACAAATACATTGTGGTGGAAAGTGCCACCAAATCACAGCTGACTTATGGTGACCCCATAGGGCAGGGGTAGTCGAACCCATGAGGGCCGGATATGACATAAATGAGACCTTGTTGGGCCGGGCCACGTGTGTCATAAAATGGAATGCCAGGTGGCGGAGATATAAACTTTATATAAAGGACACAAATACAAAGGTTGGGGTTTTTTTTAAAACTTAAAATAAAAACATGCTTAAAACATGAGCATCCAGCACTTTAACCACTATACCATGCTGGAAAATCCCCGGCTCCTACCCTGCAGTCTCTTCTGAAATGATTGCAATCCAAAGTAATCACAGAAGAAGGGGTCCAAGTAAAAGCCATGGACTAGATTGAAGAACAGCAACGTAACAACTACGACAATACAACAAATACATTGTGGTGGAAAGTGCCGCCAAATCACAGCTGACTTATGGTGAACCCATAGGGCAGGGGTAGTCGAACCCATGAGGGCCGGATCTGACATAAATGAGACCTTGTTGGGCCGGGCCACGTGTGTCATAAAATGGAATGCCAGGTGGCGGAGATATAAACTTTATATAAAGGACACAAATACAAAGGTTGGGGTTTTTTTTAAAACTTAAAATAAAAACATGCTTAAAACATGAGCACTCTTGCAATATTTTGTTTATTTAACAGTGGCTGCGTTCACACGGAGCATTAGCCACGCTACAGAGACGGAAGATAGGTGGATTTTCCGGTCGCGATCTCACCGCCACATCTGGGAAGCGTAGAGCTCCCGTGGCTCAACCGAGGCTTCCCTCCGAAGATAAGCGGCAAAAAACTAGTACCTCGGCGGTACTAGTTTCCGGAAACCGCGGGGCAAGGGCGGGCATCTGAACGCGTTTCCGGTGGCATCCGGCGCCCGCCCATGTCCCCTTGCAAACAGGTCATTTTTTTCCCAAGGCTCCACGGATGCGCACAAGCATGCACACACTTCAGTTTTAAAAAGTAAACAACAACAACAACCCCGTTTGCCGTGCCGCCCCGCTTCTTTGCCTGTGGTGTGATCGGCACCTCCCCCCTAGCCACGGGACCTCAACCCGACGTCTGATCTCGCAGTCGCGCGTTAGTTTGCCCCGGGGCAAACAGCCACGCTCCCCCCCC